GTGCTTCACACGCTGACATGCGTCACAGTGAGCGACCCATTTTCGTACCTTCCTACCTAGGTTCTTGAGGTAGAAGGAGAACGAGATCTGATCCACACACTTGTCAGTACCTTGATGTCCTAACAAGAGATGTGTGAATTCAATTACCTCGTACTCTAAGACTTTAGGGAGAATTGCCCTCCAGTACGGGTGTGTCCTGTCGTTTTTGCAGTACAGGATATCATCTCTCAACATGTATCGGTCCTTCATCGCTGCTGGGTTCTTAATCACTTCTGCCCTGATCTTTGCTAATGAGTCATCTTCCCTTTGATACTTCGCCAATCCCCGTAGTTCCTTTTTCAGGGAGGGGTCGAGACCTAAGTCGATTTTGGCGACTAATATTTCCGTAGGTTTTCTCACGAGGTCGAGGCTTTCCTTTGATGTGCCGACCGGATTTCGGCTTAGAACGTCCGCGAAGTGGTTGTTCGCGCCGCTAATATGCACAATGTTGAGGTGAAACTCAGTTTTACTCGCCGACTGCCCTTTTCCCCCAGGAATATCCCTGGTACTCATTTCTGTTAGAGGCCGAGTCGATTCCAGGGCCTCAGTGCGGGTGGAAGGATTAGGTCAATTGAAATATCCAGTTACCTCATCAGGAATCGAACCGACGACCTCCGGCTTGTAGCATAGCGCCTCAATCAAGTACCTTACCGCGGATCCTTTCTTTGAGCCGATTGTCTAGAAAATGTGGGAGCCTCGAAGTCTCACAACTTTATGGGCCTCCACGACCTGTTACAGGGATAACGTAAAGACTGTAACTAATTAACCAGTTAATCAATTCTATGGAATTGTGTCCTACTCGAGAAGTAACCAGTCGCTCAGTTGCTCAAGAACTTCCCATTATTTCATGGAACCCAAAAATTTCATTACTTTTTTCACAAGTGCCTTCCACTGATACCTATCCTAAACTAAAGAATCCAGTCCGTGCCACCCCATTGCGTAACTCGAAGATCTATTTGAATATTATTCTCACACTACATCTTTGTCTTCCTAGATGGAGACTGTCCAAGAGTTAATTTCTAGTTTGTGTTTCTTGTAGGTTTCAGTGTCGGAGATTCCTTGGGGTTCGAACCGGCGATAGAGGAAACTGGCTCGAAGCGCCGTTCCGTTCAAGACGGTCGCAGCGCCAACATCGGAGTGCAGACATTTGCAGCGCAGCATATGGCGGTGAGTGATATGAGCCGCCCGAGTGGGCGCAGTGTTTTCTCTGTTTCTGAACTCATAACTGTGTCGACAGAAGAAGAGGAACCTAGAACAAAGAATAAATGGGAGTTTGCTGCAGACAACCATCTACTGAAATTGCAGCGCCTGCAAAACAAAGTTCTCCGCATCGTTGGACATTTTCCAAGGCCGACACCGGTTCGCGATTTGCACATGGCTTTGAAATCTCCGTGCTTATATGAATATATAACAAAATTAAGCGGGAAATAAGCAGAAGTCATACAAAATCATGAAATTGCAAATATTCGAAACACTGGACAACGCGAACCACGACAAAAGAAATATAAGAGGCTTTGGCGGCGGTCAATCATACTATCCTTCAAATGACTAGACTGCCGTTGTAGCAGGAGCTACGAAGGATAGGGCATGATCTGCTGTACTGAGCCTCAACTGACAGAGGCCTTATATATTTTCTGCATACATTTAATAACATGTGGAATGTAAATGGTACATACTGACAACAGACTTATTACTGCTGACTGTGTGTCTGGCAGACGACAGACCCTTCCTCTCGTCAGACAGAGCGCCCCACATCAATAAGCCTGCCTGCAATTATCTGACAGTAATACAAATCTGATCGTAAGCCTCAGATAAGTTCTTTATTCCAAGATAGACTGGCCGACTGACAGTCGGTCGTAGCATAACTTTGACTTTGATTTAAGCTGCATTCAATAGTAAATGAAGGCCAGTGGTAGCCAGGGATGGCTAACGGCAGGCAGTGTGTCTAGTTATGGCTAGGAGGCCGTAAAATTAGGTAAAAGTCACCAGTTGAGTACTACTCGTAGTTGTGAGACTGTCGCTAGCCGGCAAGGACGTGAACAGGGAAGCAGAAGACATATTTGAATTCCGTTACCAGGTAAAGGCCAGCGAAGACACAGAAGACTTTGCGTGTGCTGTAGTGGGGAGTAGAGTGCGTGACTTAGTAAGATCATTATAATTACTTTTAGTTAAGATTTATAAGAGTTCAACAAATGAGGTTAGCAATTCAAACCCTTGTCTAGTCACTAACACGTGACATTTAATGACACTCTCATATCGACTCTATGTATCGTCTATGAGAGGATGATTAATACGTATGTAGCAGTTGATGGGATGGAAATTGGCAGAGAAAATCAAAGTTGCATACTTATCCACATCCCGCATGTCCTAACCTGGAATCGAACCTAGGACGCGGTGGTGGGTAGCTGGGAAATACTTTTTTCATCTATGGCACTGCCAAGAATTGGTGGAAATGAATGAAAGTAGAAGAGGAAGGAGGAGGAAATGAAACAGAAGGAGGAAAAGAAATGACCAGGAAAGAAGAGGAAAGAGGAGGAAGAAGGAGATAAAAGAGCAATGCTTTTTGCGTTCTCACTGATATTGAGCCGGATGTGAAAACGATAAGCAACAGTAATAGTAATCCCAGGATCTAGGTGCAGAAAATACCACTGTTGGCAGGCATGTCTGTTTCGCTCCTCTAGGTAACTGCTACAGGCGCATCAACCACGTCGACATTAAGCAAGAAATCAGTGTTTCATAGAAAGTCATTCACTGTTACGCGGTTCGAAATAATCGTTGGCTTTCTGCTCAACATTGCGAAAGTTAAGAACCTGGGCTGCACTGTTTTCCTTGTTCAGTGTATCCGTTGTCACCACGGCAGTGCGCATCTTCAGGTTGCGGATGGAGAACACGGCCACCAAGTGTGGATATGTAGCTGTAAATATATTGAATATGCATTTACGGAGAACCGACAATGGATGGTTCTTGAGGCAGGTGAATCCCTCGCTGTAAAGACACATGCCACGCACGATTTTTAATACAGGGCCTCAAAATTGAGGACTAGGCGTAGATGGGAAGGAAATACCAAAAGTTATCTTAAAATTATAGAAAGGGAAAATGTGGAGTTGGTCCGTTTGGTTAAGTTTAGGCACCAGTGGCGGGTTCTTTGAACACGTTAAAGGCAGCATATTGCTTAACAAGATGAGCGACTGCAGCTTTCCAAGAAATTCTACGCTCCATTGCAGGAAGGTAGTCATGAATTGACGTGTAAATTTGCCTTCTCGAGTTTCCATGTACATACTCTAACGCGAAATACAGGTCCCTTCATTTTGAACCTGCTCCTTTTTAAAATGCAATTTTACATAAAGTTTGTGTTGTTTACATTCCGCACACCGGTCCACTTTCTAAACAAAGCCCCTTTCTATAACCACTCGCACCCCCACCCGTTAATCCCAGGGCCTTCTCCATTTAGGGCTTATTCTCTTTTATAATGTGTAATCACTGTGAGCGTTGAAGTTTCAACATCAATTGTTGATTTATATTGTACATGACTTCGACTTGCCGCCAATAAAAATAAAAGTAAACAAGATTGTAATAGATTCTGAAAGGTTCTGGCGATGGTGTATAACACTCAGAACTACTGGGTTTCTGGACTTTCTCCATCGTCCGTTATTCTAAAAACTAGAAAACAAAACGTTTCGGAAACTGGATCTGTTTCGGTCCCCAGTTGAAGGGCAAGACACCTACTCTTTTTCCTCCCTTAGAGAGAGTTAACCTCAGTCCTCATTACGTGGCAGCATAGTTGGTTGAGGCACTGTGCTACAAGCCGGAAGGACACGGGTTCAGTTCCCGAATAGGTCACTGGATTCTTCAGTTGACCTAATCCTTTCAGCTACTCTATGGCCCTGAGGTCGACTCAGCCTCTAACAGAAATGAGTACCAGGAATCTTTCTGTGTGTAAAGGGTGGTCGGTGCGTAAGGCGGATCTTACCGCCACCAGTAAGCCAATTGTCTTGGGCCGCGCCATAGTCGCTGGCTTCCCACCACGGAGGCCCGAGTTCTATCCCGAGTCTGGTCAAGTGGGATTTTTGGTGGACAAAGTGGTGCTGGGGCAGGTTTTCTCCGAGTACTTCGGTTTCCCCTGCCAATCTTCATTCCACCAATTGCTCAACACTCACCCTCACCTATCATCTGGGGCTGGTACAATAGGCCAGAAGTGGCAGCAGTACATGGGACTTAGTCCCATCCCATTAGCAATAAAAAAAAAGCCAATTGTCTAGAAAATGTGGCAGCCTCAATGTTTCACAATCCTACGGGCTTCCACAGCCTCCTGTATGTATCGCTTTACATTTGTATCTACAGTTACTAAGAAGTTATCCGTCTTTGAATAAACAGAGTTTGCACTGTCATGTTCATAAACGCATGCCACTGGAATGTATCCTGAGAAACTGAATGTTTCGCAAGTGGCCTTTTCCTTCACTTTCCCCGACAGAATTCTGTACGCATTTCTCACTGTCCCCTTCTCTTCTTACACGAGTTCCGCATCATGTAATGTTTTCCAGCAGTAGCTTTGCCCACTGCAGACGGCTGCGTCCGGTCCAGATTACGGAAAGAGAAGTCACTGCCAGACGTGTGAATTAGTTGATACCTAATTTATTTGGCCACTGTTTTAACCAGCTATCGCATTACAGCAAGAAGCTGTTCATATTTCGTCTGCGCGTTGTAAACATAATGAATATTAATGGGAAGCTCCCAATTTTGGGCTTAGGACAGAGGTCACGGTAACTTTTTAGTCTTTAAGAACTGTGTAAATTCCCGATGTTTGACGATCCAGCGTCATTTATTGTGGCGAAGGAAAGTCATGAAACAGGTCGCAAATGGAATAAAACACTTGCAATGGATGTAATAAATTTTGTCTTTGAACCATTAGGTAGAAGCACAGTCCAGCTTCATGGCAATATAGATAAGAGCCGCGCATATGCATATTCATAGGCCGGTTTCAGTAACCATAATGGCGACCGTACTTAGCGTATACTACCGGAGTGCAGCGGTTTGTTGTGCGTTTTTTGTGGGAAAAAGGGTTTAATGCAAAGGAAATTCATAATGAAATATTTGGTGTTTACTTTAGAAAATATGTATCGCGTAAAGCGATACACAACTGGGTCGAGAAATTCTCTCAAGGACGTTCGAAAGTCGCAGATGGTGCCCGACCAGGTGCGGAATTCGGCTGAGACAACAGTCAAAAGACTTCTATACTGCGGGTTTCGACGCACTGATAAGCAATGGGATAAGTGTATCAATGTTAGTGGACGATATAATCGAGAAATAAATGTTTCTTCCAGGTTCTAAAATCGCATGCTTTACGTTTTATATCCATTTGTGACCTATTACTGACTCTCCCTTCTAAGTAATGCGCCTTTCAGTGTATATCTAGTGGTGAGACAGTTTCTTAGCGGTCTGCAAAGAGCGCATTTATTAATCTACATCATCTACTCTCGTTAAACATAACACAGACGCACCTACACCTGTTCACTCTACAGGGAGATGTCCATGGGTCTACAATAGGCCACAAGTCACAGAGTTTCACACTTAGGTTATAATTATAGGCAAACAAGTTTTTATGTAAGTGTTGTGCCTTTACGCAACAATTCGATTGCGTCCGCATAATCTTCGTGTTGCTAAAGAAGTATACAGATAATCCTAGAATGCCTTTCACTTGTTTTTTTCTTTTCATATTTCTTTGCCCCTTTTTTCTTCAGCGATATGTGACACGCTATATATTTGGTACAGAAGGAATATGTCTTTCGTCATACTTGAGCGAATCCTTGAGAAGAGAGTAGTGAACCAAACAAAATCTAACGTCGTTCTGCAGAACAGTTTATCTTGCACTCAGTACAAGTTTACTTTCGTACACAATATAGGAAGTGATGTCTATAGACCGCCATATTGCATGCAAATGTACTGTTAAGGAGGATACAGAAAAAACTTAGCACGAATGAAAATATTTACTTTTTTTAGAGCGCACACATTTTAAAGTGCTTGAAGACAAATGTCTCATGCGGCTGGTCGCCAGAGATTATTGTGACATGTGGGCAGTTTCTAGGAAACGAATTGGCTAACACGTTGCCACGGAGAGATTTATCCTTGGAAACAAGCTGGTTACGGAACACGGCTTCATGGACAAGAAAACTGAAAGCTGTAAACACTGAGAACCAGACGCTGCTTCGGAATTAGCACGCTGTTTCCATGGCAACGCATTCATGAAGAGCGGCGGGGGAACCCCTGGAGGCGCTGATCTCTTTTCGGTTCTGTCGTACTTATAAAAGGGAGTTCATTCGTGCATTGAAGGCAAACCCGTGTGGAGGCGGAATCGAATACCTCCACCGTGACCCTGCGAGTCGTAGGAGGTGACGAAAAGGGAAGTCTAAAATCCGAGAGAGTAAAATATGGTCGCGAGTCCTAAGGGGCTCGGACCCGAGAAAAACTTCGCTGGCAAGGGCTAGCAGCATACACAAAAGACAGACCCGTCCTCTCGTCAGAGAGGACGCCCAAGAAAATAAGACTTTAACTGTTAAATAGTAATAAATATCTGGTTATGAGCTTGACACCAAGACTTACTGTCTGACTCACCGTCAGTCGCAATGCGACTTTGACTTTGACATTCCGGGCAGAGATTCATCAGGCAGACTTGTTCAGAAGTAGATCAATGTGTGAGCTGTTATAACTGGTTGCAATTGTAAAGAAGTGCCAGTAAATCCAATCATCAAATCTAGAACCCATTATTATTACTCACGTCAAACCCGAAGATGTGACTACATATTGTTTTTATGGGAATGAAATGCGGTCTCTGACACTTAGGAGCAAAAATAGCTGTTCGGACTTGAAAGCAGAGCGTTAAGGGGAAAGCGTCAGCACAAAATGGAAGAAATTGCGTAGAAGCTTGGTAAAGATACTCAATAACAAGCTTTTTCATAATGCTCTCCTTAGCATGATCAAATCAAACAAGAGGGGCCAACGTGCAGGCTTAGGGGCAGGTTGGAGCACGATACAAGGGAAAGTCGGTAAATAGGCACCAAATGGAAATAAAAAGTAACACACGTGATAGTCGAACCTGGGAAAAACATTTATTTCTCGACATATCCACCAACACTGATACACTTGTCCCATCGCTTTAACACTGCATCGAAACCCACAGCATAAAAGTTTCTGACTTTTGTCTCAGCCACTTCAGAAACTCCGTTTCAACCTCTTCGTCATCAGCAAAACTTTTGGCTTGTTTCTCTACCCATTTGTAAAATGCTTTACATGACGAACACTTCCCACCGTAAACAGAAAACATTTCCTTATGAATATCCTTCACATTTGAGTCCTTTTGAAAGAAAGAAAGAAAAAAAAAGAAAAAAGAGAAAAACGCACAACAGAACTCTGTTCTTCTTCCTGAAGCACAGATGCAATTTTGACTACTGAAACCAGCCTCTGAATATGTGCATGTGCATCTGCTACCTAGACTCTAATGAAGCTGGACTGTGCTGCTACCTAGTGATACACATACAAAACTAGTTACCTCCATCACAGCTGTTTTACTTACATTTGTGACCTATATACTGTTTCTTCCGCGTAATAAACTGAATTAAAATTAACTAGGGTGTGGAGGTGTGTGCTGAATTCGTCTAACTCAGTACGCGTTCCAGCGTAGGGCTCTTGTGAGCCTTAGGGTTCCATAGAAGGCGAAGAATTTCCGTACTAATTGAAGGTATATTAGCTTCTTGAGAATTATTATTTCCCAGCAGTTGCTAATCAGTCAGTTTCTTCGCATTTTTGTGTACAATTTGCCTTCACGTTTATTAATTGAAGCTACAAATGTATTTTTGCAAAGCCCACACCATGGATTAGAGCAGTGGTTTTCAACCTTCGCCTGACCGCGGCCTGAGGGCCCGGTACCAGGCCGCGGCCCAGCGGTTGAGAAACACAGGATTAAAGTCGTTAAGTTTTATTTTATTCAGAACAAGTTCAAATGGAGTCACGCCTGCTGTCTCCTGAGACATGCGCTCTGCAATATGACGGATAAGAAAGAATATTTCGGAACAGCCTTCTGCCTCCATATTCAAGGTAAAAGAGTAAAGTGGGTATCTAACTATCAAACTGCATAAAGTCGCATTCCAAATTTAGTTAATCTCCATATCATTCAAAAATTTCACACGGTAACGGTAATGAGCACTCTAGTTTCGCTAAATTAGGAAATATCTTGATCATCCTAATATAAGGTTACTCACGTTATAAAATGAAACTGCTCAACTACATAAACACATAGACATAAAGTAGGCACAAGCTATATAAAAGTGTTTACTAAACCTAAAATATTTATAGGCCTATAGGAAGGCATAAACATTTTAAAACTGCACAGTGAAGAATTTCGTGATTCATTGAGGATTTCGCTCATTGACTACATTTCATGAAGATTCTGAAATCCGTTATTCTCTGTGTTTTGATTCCTCTCATTATTATGGTCACTATTGTTATCACGACTCCTGTTATGGTTACCATGGTTACTACATTCGGTAGTGGTGCCAGTGTCGCACGTCATGAGTCTCTCACACTGTTATTACCGGTTCTAAGAAACTAAAAATGTACGTCTTTGGGATGACCTCCAGGGACATAATAATGTTACGCCAGAATGATAAAAGGCATTGGAGTTGTACTCTTCTCCAAAGATAATTAGAATAATCAAGTCAAGGAGGATGAGATTAGTAGGGCATATAGCACGAATGGGGCAGAAGAGGAATACCTATAGGATATTTGTGGCAAAGCCAGATTGAAAGAGACCACTGGAGAGACCAAGGCGTAGGTAGTTGGACAATATTAAAATGGAACTTAGAGAGACAGGATGAGATGGCATGGATTGGATTGATCTGGCTCAGGCTAGGGACCAGTGGAGGGCTCTTGTGAACACGGTTAATGAACCTTCGGGTTCCTTAAAATGCTGGGAAGTTCTTGAGTAGCAAACACAATTGGCGGCTTCTCAAAAAGGGCTCAGCTCCGTGAGTGAGTGAGTGATAAAATACATGTCAAATTTCGTCAGAACCTGTTCAGAGGTTGCCGAGTTGAAGGATACAGGCGACCGGACAGACACGCACACATGACCATCCCTATATGAAATTTAATCAGAAAGATAAAAATTTGGAAAGTATCTTACAAATTCGTCTTCTCTCTATTGGTGATATCTAACCCTTGAGGTCTGTTTCGTGCAGTTATAGTTGTAATGATCACGCTTTTCTCATGTCGCAGGCCATGAATAAGGCCTCAGCAGTCACCGTTCCCCCCTTCAAACCCCTGCCGCCAGCCAATGAGGGACACCGAAACGTCTCTCGCCCGTCTCGACTGGCTTCGGGGAACGGCGTCGGGGTGCCATCAGTTGTGGCCGTCCCCGTACCGACCTTCCAGGCCATGCCTTCGTCAATCTCCCGGGTAACCACTGGACCAGCAGCTGTGGGCGTCAAAGTTGTGAGGGCACCCGTAGCCTTCAGGAACTCTTTGCAGATGGCTACAAACCACTTTCAGGTTCGTCTTCAGGATATTATTGATAATATTAGCGTCATATTATGGCCGATTCTTAGTGTAAATGTCTAGCGGATATGTTTTAGGGTTAATTCTCAATTTTAATATGCTGGGACTTTTTCTGTAGAATTTGAACAGTAGCAGAATGGGGAAAATTGCAAATAGTAGATCTACAGTCCAATTATCTTTAGAGCTTTGAGCAGCCCATCTATATGAGCGCTCCTTTCGTGTAGTCACGGCTCAGAAACTGAAAATGCTAGCGGAACAGATAAACCTACAACGCAACACATTATAAATAAAGCTTGCCCTCATTGCAGCAGATGCTAGAACGCAGCTCCGTACCTATATGCTTTGAGGTTCCTTTCTCGAAAATAAAGAAAACTTGAAACTTAAACCCCGATTTCCCGTTCGATGAGCCTGAGGTATTTTTAGTTCAAGCCGAAACGCTCGGTGGTTCTGTTGTGTCTGTCCCCAGTAACGGTGGAACCTGTACCAGTCTTACACATTCCACTGGCAACAACAGACGAGCACATGGGTACATTATTCTGTTCATTCCCTTACCACTACTGTTGTTCAGATTTATAAAAAATGCTATATGACTCATATAAATGCATTTTAATAACAATGGATCACAGCAAACCACATGTAAAGGACAATAAACTAAAATATCGACATTTATCAATCACACTGGACGGTTTTCTAAAATATATACAGGTAATAAATTACTTGGAACATAGAGTGCAACAAATCTGGTTGCATCCTCCTAGTCTTTTGTCAATCGAAAGGGACAAACACGACTAATCTGGCCGCAGAAAATTATCATCTGTCTTGAAGTATAAATCCGTGCCGTTTGATTTATTTCGGCGTCTTCAACAGGTTCGTAAAGACCAGCCAACTGCTGGTGATGAAGGACTGTCCACAAACACATTAACCCTAAGGACGGGGGCCACGAACCAGCAGAAGGCAGTATCACCCGCTCTAGATGCTTCATTAGACACAATGGGTTACTCCATCAAAACGCTTGCAAAGGCGACAAACTTATCAGAGGATGCCATTGCTGCAGCCATAGCCTTGCGACAGCAGCAGTTGATTCAGCAACAGCAGGCTGCAGCGACAAGTACAACGACGAGTACGACAACAACAAAGAAACCTCCGGTCTCGAATCCAGGGAAGAAGTACCTTCTCGCCACACCCAGTAAGGTCATGAACGCGCCCAAGGAGTACTATCCCGTAGGATATGACAAGAACTTCGACGATAATTTCGCGTCACGTGTCGAACTTCCGGACACGACGTTCAGCTGTGGCGACCAGAAGCACTTCCCAGGACTCTATGCTGATGAGGACTTAGGATGTATGGTGAGTATCTAGAACTGACTTGCGCACCCGGTGGTGCCTGGATTACACTGTAGACACGTTTACTGAGGACCCAACACAAATAACCTAAGCAATCGCAGGATCTGAGGCCCTCCCACCAGTGCTTATGAAAAGTTCTATCTTCCCGGATGTAACGTCGTGTAGTCCGTTAGAAATCAGTCACCGTTTCGGAGTAACATGTTGTCTCTATCTTGAGCGTCCAATAATAAACTAAGAAAGAAACCAGTCTCAAGCAGGTAGCACAAGTCAAGAAGGAAACCGGCGTGTAGCAGGTAGCATAAGCCAAGCAGGAAAATGGCGTGTAGCAGGTAGCATAAGCCAAGCAGGAAAATGGCGTGTAGGAGGTAGCATAAGCCAAGCAGGAAACCGGGATGTAGCAGGTAGCATAGGCCAAGCAGGATACCGGCGTGTAGTAGGTAGCAAAGGCCAAGCATGAAACCAGCAGGAAGCAGTGATATGTTGGGATTTTGGACTTTATCCATCGTCCTGGTTTTTAAGATAACAAATAAAAACACGACGTTTCGGAAACTGGATCTGTTTCCGTCCTCAGGTGAAGGAAAACACCTATTCAGTTGGGTCCCTTAGAAAGAGCTAGCCTCAATGATATCAGTGTGTTATACACCATCGTCAGAATCCTATAGTAACTACCAGCAGGAAGCAGGTTCCTTGCTTGGCGCATTCTTCGACCTTGTGGATGTGGAAGACTTGTTCTTCAGAAACGTCGGTTGACTTTTCAACGGGCTACACAGCTTTACGTTCCAGAAGATATAACTCATCGCAAGTAGTTCCTTTGTAGTTGATGCGGAGCCATAAAATAACCGAAAGGCTTTGCAAACATAAACCCAGCCTAAATACTGTAGTCAGAACGTTTTCGTTCCTTGACTAAGGCGAAACTCAGAATCGCATACCCTGAAATGTTTCTTACGTCTTTTGTTTTACTGTCTTCATTTTAACTTTAAAAATATGTAATTTATGTACACCTAATAACATTGTTTTAACAATTTAAGAATTCTAGGTATGCTTTTAAAGACATGTTTTAATCGGTTGTAGTCTTCACTAAAAATAAATTAAAAAAACTTATAAAATCGAAGCGAATTTCGCGTAAGTCGTGGATTTCCTATATTACTTCCTCTATTTATTTATTTTTTCGTTGCCTTACCTATCATTTCAACCGCTATTGGGGAGCTGTCCTGCCAACTGCTAAATTAAGAATGTAATTGAACTCGTTGCCACGGGGACAGATGCTCCACGTGTTCGATTAGCTCCGCTGCTGAAATCACAGGAACGGAAGAGTTTTTTTTTTTTGGCATTCAATTATCACAGGGGACACGCGGTTGCGTAGTTGATTCAGGCACTATACTATAACCCAGAAGGCCGCAGGTTCAAATGCCAATGAGGTGGATTTTTTTTTTCAATTGACCTAATCCTTCCAGCCGCACTGTGGCTCTGGGGTCGACTTAGCCTTTAGTAGACACGAGTACCAGGAACTTCCTGGAGGGGGTAAAAAGCGGCCGGCGCGTGATGCTGACAACCTTACCGCCATCTGTGAGCCGATTGTCTAGAATATGTGGGAACCTCGACGTCTCACAACCCAATGGGCCTTCACGGCCTGTTACAGGGATAGCTTTACCGATTACTTTCCATTACCACAGTTTAGGATTAAGACTTCAATTTATAATTCCTAGAAAGGAAAGAAAATTTAGGTGCGCGGAGCGCCTAAAGTCTGATTTACACTGCTTACACAGGACCAAAGTGACGAGGTATTACACACCTCCTTGTAACAATATTTCTTAACCATTACAACTGCTCAGCTTCTAAAAATAGCTATTTCAACAGCACTGTAGGAGTCTTTGCTGGTAGCTACTAACTTTTATAAAAGAAAGAGAAACAGCGTTAATTTCGACTCCTTAGAAAAACGAAAGAGAGAAAGGATCAAGTAAAAACTAATGCGTCATTCTTATCGGAGTCAGACACCAAGGAACGTCAGAATTACTCAGTTTTTTAACTTTGTCCAATTTCCGGTATTCTAGAAACTAAGAAATATAACATTCAGGAAACTGGAACTGTTTCCGTCCTCATATGAAGGGGACGGAAAACATCTACTCAGTTGAGTCCCTTAGAAAGAGCTGACCTCAGTCACTGAGTATCTGAGACCTGAAACGGATCCGTTTTCCAAAACATTGTTTTTTCTAGTTTCTGTAATACCGGGCGGCCGATCGGAGTGACATGAACTGTCTTCGTCCGCTAGAACAATGGGATCGTGGGTTCGAATCCCACTTGAGGCGTGGATGTCTGTGTGAGTTTATTCTGTGTTTGTATTGTTCTATGTGTAGGTAGCGACCTTGCGACTGGCAGATCCCAGTTTCACGGAGTCCTACCGACTGTGTATAGGATTAAGAAACTGAAAGGAAAACGGGCAAATGTCCAACAAAGGGCTGTAGAGCCATAGCTAAATGGGGAGATGGATAGATAGATAGATAGATAGATAGATAGATAGATAGATAGATAGATAGGTAGTCAGGCAGGGAGGGAGGTAGGTAGGTAGGGAGATAGAATACCGGACGATGAACAAAAAAAGTTCAGAAACCCAGTAAATCCTAGTATTATACACCTTAGTCTGAACCCTTTGGAATCTACCAAGGAACCTGTTCCTGCAACACCGGCTTACATCCACGATGTATTCGAAGAATATCTATCTAGAAACTTACTCACCTCTGTGTTGACTGCCCTCAGTTCTTCACATTCTGTATCGGTTTTCGGCACAGGAAATTCATTATACAGGCACGCGTATTGTGCAAGAACTACCCACCCATTTTTCCGTTCACCCATCAAGGATTTCTATACATATACGTACATACCGCATACTCCGGAATATGAAGCGATCCATTGACCTTCCGGTCAGAAAATCATGAAAAATTTAATCTGACATAAGTGAATATGTCTTTTAGTTCTGAGGGTTGTAAGCTAAAATAAGTGGAAAGTATACCATTTAGAAGTAATAGATTCAAATTGTAATACCTTAAATATATTTCTAGATTTAAAATAAATCGTTGGAATTGGCAATTAGAACGTCTCTTAATCATATTTAATCGCAAGAATTCAAAAATAAGGTGACCCCTCTTTTATAAGAAGCAGTATTTAAGAAAGAAAGAAAGAAAGAAAGACTCGCCTTGTGTTTTGTCCAATGCGATCGTTATAATGCCATCTCACAGTAGTACCGGGGAGCCATGTGACTGAATCATCGCGTGTTTTCTCTGGTTCCTTCTTTTCGTGATACTTCCGCGAGACATGTAGAACTTGTTGAGGTTCGTGTGATGTCGCCAACCGAAATGAGATGCAGTGGTTCACGGTGACGCTCCCGAGACATGCGCGGTGCTAGTACGTGACGTGCTGACACAACACGTCGCCTTTCCTTTACATAACGCAGTTACAGACATCACGGCAATTGTGAAACGAGGCCATCTGTCTGTACTAACAAGCAATGCTTCAATAGCGTTGACGCCTTCTCCAGCAGTAAAGTAGGATTACAGGTGACTATTCCAACTGGGACGACATTGTCAGCATTGTATCGTCGTTCGTTAACGAGATGTGAAGACTCAGTAGCGATTCCGTTTGTGTGTTTCCGGAACTGAGAGTATGCCTCGTGCGTTTGCACCAACCGACAGGTTTGTTGAGTATAACACTGAGCGTGGAATTAACAAAAATGAATAAAGGCTCCGTGTGAAACAGAGAGAACGGAAGTTGCGAGATAAATGTCTTTTTGATCCGCTGTCGCTGCTGTCAACAGGCTGCGATAACTTGGCAGCATTTATATCTCCTATAATACGTCGGTAATGTCAACGCCATCCTTCATATTGCATAGGAAAATTTACTTCGGGCTATCCACACTGTTAGAAATATACTTATCGTGACCACTAGCAGCATTCCGTGGCTATCTTGTATTCATTCTGTGTCCGATGGTGCAAAAATTAAAGGCAATTCTGCTGTAAATTTTGATAAAATAATCAGACGGCAATTAGGCGTGTCTTATTTTTCTATGTGTTCGCTTTTCAAAGTATTTGCCCGAACATCCCACGAGTTTCTGCTTATATCACAATGAATGTTTTGATTGAACCTCATGGTAAGTTTAGCCGCTACTCTCTATGACTATTTTTCACTTCAAAGGCAGTCAGTAAGTGCCGGACATGTTGATGTAGTCGATGGCCGTCCACAGCTCGCATCGGCATTTGTTAGCTCTCCCTCGTGTCTTTGCACCCATTCATAACAATTCTTCTGGCTCCTACAGTTACTGCCATACGGAAGAGTCATTCAAGTTGTCACTCGATTTCACCACAGAAATCAGAGCATAACAGGGTGCCCCAGAAGGAAAGGTCAATTATCTGGGCAGTCACAGTATCGGTCACTCTAAACAAAAGAGCGTATATGTACATCCTATTCCGAACGGTTTCAGAGATACAGTTATTTCACTGTACACTGTACAGACGAGCAACACACCATGTCCTCACACGAGTTGCAAAGTGCACTGATGTTTACGGTGGAATTTTCGAGAATGTATTATAATGGGTGAACAGTACCAACTTTATCACGTGAACAGTAAATACAGGTCTTAGAAACAGCACGTAATATCTCTTTCTTATGAATCGTTTTGGAACTGTACAGTGATTTTTTTTAACTGTATCTCGGAAACCGTTCGGAAGAGGACATACACGTATATATTGCTTACAATGACCGACACTATGTCCTCCCAGGATATTTGGTGCATTGCATGAACGGAGGAGCCACTTTAAATGTGAAGACTGCGGCCTTCGGGGACGTGACACCGTGCATATTTGTACTATATTCAATTACTCTCTCAGTAACTCAGGCTGTATACGTGTAGTTGTGAGTTATAAAGGTAGAGTGAATAATTAATTTAAAATGTCGTGAAACATATTACAGTCATGATCTTCTTTCTGGTACAATACTACTCCTGCATGTGAGTGAGTTTAGTTTGGTAGACTCTATCATCATGGCAGAACGGTGAAGATAGAGGCAGCAGGTTCCCCCGAAACATTGGTGTCTGTTAAGCACCCAATAAGATCGCAACCTTCGCATTCATTGCCACGAGAAACTCATATCTCACATAATGTATGTGTCACAGAATTAGTTTATTCTCAATCGAAATACAATAAAACCAACAAAATGAAAGGTTCATATTCTTTCTAACCGCAGTATTTTCCCCTGCTATCAACATCACTTTCAGGTATATATAAACTAAAACTGCCTTCACTTGTATACGTGTACTTCCGGCTTTTGTGAATTTACGATTTATGTGTGACTGTAGATTGGGTTTCGATTCTTCAATAGATTTATTGACCATTTACAGATCGTAACTACAAATAACTATAAAACTGAAGAAAGCAGTCTTCTGGGATTTGGCACAGTGTCTATGTCGTGTGAATCGGTTCACACGGTCTCTTCGCCTGCGGATTTCTTAAAATTTTCCTTCTACCCTGAAGATGGAGCCAATACGTTCCTCCGAAACGTCGGTTAACACCACATATACACGGTGCCATATCCCAGAAGAATGCTTTCTTCATAGTCACCGCCGTGAAAACCTCGAATCTTACAACTATAATATTATTGCTGACTCCCATACTTTACAAATTACTGGCACACTCTAAGTCTTCTCAGTCTTCACCAGTCGTATCCTGGCAACAGATTTTTAACACAGTAATTATAACAGTCTCACTGTAACTACAGCACATATATAATCTTCTCTTCACAGCCGGACTTTCAACTCTCTCTCTCTGTCAAGTAACAACTAAGTGGGAAACCCCAGTTGGCTTCTTCGTAACCATGTTGCACGGACCGAGTAGAAAACACTGCTTGCAACATTAACTCTATTGCTGTTTGCGTATTCGTTGCAGCGGGAACGTGTTTGCCGATCCGCTGCCTGTAAACAGGTTGCATAACATTGCTCAGCCAAAGTCTGTACTTGCTACATTTGTCATATTGTTTATTTCGAGGTCTTTGCCTAGCAACGGGTATACGCACAACAATAGTATGATATTAAATTTAGTAATATGCCTACGGCTGAAAACGGTGACAAAATATATGTGTTTCTGCTAACATATTTAATTCCATCGGCAGGTGTTCCATGTGTGCGCTTTCACAGATGATGGACTTATCATGAAAAGCTTCCTCTGCCCGGAGTCTACACTGTTCGACCAAACGATCCTCAAGTGTAACTGGTGGTTTTACGTGGACTGCAAAGCTTCAAAGAAGCTCTACGACAGTAACATACCAATTTCTAAAAGTTACCAACTTATGAAGGCGCTGGCTTTCTTCTCCTCGTACAACAAGAGCTAAACTCAAGGCCAACGAAGTGAAACGTCATTGCTCAATGAACTCTGCGCTCAACCGCATAGTGATACAGGCTCGTTCATGAAGACTGAATAAGGCAAGAGAGACATGTACCTAGATAAGGAGCAGAAAGTGTTAAGAATGAGATATTCTGCATGTTCGTGCCATCTGTTAGAAACCTTACTTATTCCTTGTCCCATAACTTTCTGCTAAAGAGTTGTCTGCTCATTAAGTAACCAGAAAATGACATTGGCTTTTAAGACAATCAGTTACGCCGAGAAGCGGCGGTCGCTCGGTCGGTATAGTTCGCTTGCGGACTGAAATCACGGAGTTACATATTTCATTTTTTTTTCACATCGATACTTCAGCAGTTTTCTATATTTATGCAAACTATGACATACGTTTTGGAATAACTGAACCGTACAAAAAGTTTACTTTTAGTTTTGTCTAGCAGGATTCAAGCCTGGATTATACTTGCTAATTACGATATTCCGTAAACCAGAGTCACTTTATAACAGCACGAGAAACAAGGCCGCAAAGCGCTGTCGTGAAATGACGTTAAATTATATAGCTTGTGGCACAAAGTGGCATGCTGTCAAAAAGTGACCGTAGTTTACGGTATATTCGTGGATAAGTCGACTGAAATTCAACAAGGAATAACGTCTTCCTTTTCTTCATTCTTTTCTTTTTCTCTGCTTTGCTCTCTTTCTTTCTTTCCCTCCTTTTCGTAATTGTATCTCGGCTGCCATTTCTCCGTTAACACAGTGAACGAAGTTACATGTGTATCCTTCAGATGGCTCAGATGGGAACACAGATCTGGCACGAGTGTAAATACGTGAACTCTGCTACGGTGTCAGGACTGTACACACTTGCTAGCCCGTCTCCTGTTATGTAGCCTGGGCCGTTTAAATTGCAACCCAAAGAACAATAAATCATCCACTGCTGTGTGGAAATGAAAGCGGAGTTTGTTTCCACTGTGTAACGGGTTATTTCAATTTTCTTCGTGACCCTGTGGTCAACGTTACCCTTAGGCAGCGTCTACACGAGGGCACAAAATGCGTCCCTTGTAACGAACGTACTTCATGACGGACGTTGCTGAGGACACCACACAGTTGCAGAATGCGGTGCGTAGTTTTTTGTCTGCAATGGAGCCAGAAGAAAGCGTAGCGTTCGACTCTCTTGTTTGTTTCTATAACGCACGTCACGACGTTCGTTACAACGGACGTATTTTGTGCGCTCGTGTTGCCACCGCCAACAGTACAGAAGCTCTGTAAATGTGAAGACGGTGTTTTCACGGGCAGAAATTGCGTTTAATACTCGGACATTACCTCACTCGAAATCGTTTGCTGCCATTCGCGAAGCACTGAGCGATGAGTAGCGTGACAAGGAAGAAAAGACAATATTGATGTCGCCTTTAAGACTGCATGTACAGTAGCGGTTTAAATGTATAGGAGCCAGTGAATGACGGAAGACCAAAAAACAGGGCTCATTGGCTCGATCTGGTAGTGTTAACATGAATTCTTTTGCGATTAGCTTGTTCAGCAAAATGGGATAAACAAAAAAAGATGATGTGCAAACTAACGTAGATTCATCGGAAGGGAAAAATAACATGAACTGCATATACACTTTTATAAAACATAACACACCTTTATTTCATTCTACGTATTTCAGCAGGATTTGAACCCATACCTCCATCTAAGCATAGTCCTGATGCTTTCCTTTCAAAGTGGAAAATATCTGTAGAAAATTTTTAGGCGGTTCTGAGTGCGAAAACATGTGTATGCCTGTCGCTGAATAATTTATTTTTATCATGACCATCCATAATCAATGCTTTTGCAACATGAAGCATCACTTGTTTCTTCCACAGGTTAGTTTACAGCACTGCATGTGATATCTTACTTGTACCTGTCCATACTTCACATGTATTTTATACAGTGTCAGATGTTTCATTTTTTCTCTCAAATCTTGTGAGCAAAAGCGTTTTCACATTCACGAGGTCTATATAAGCACAGAAAAATGAGAAGAACACGGTAGTGCAGTTGGTTGAGGCACTGTGCTACAAGCCGGAAGGTCGCGGATTCAATTCCCGATTACGTCATTGGATTTCTTCAATTTATCTAATATAGCGGCCGCACTATGGCCCAGAGGTGGACTCAACATCTAACAGAAATGAGTACCAGGTACATTTCCGGGGGTAGGGCGGCCGGCGCGTAAGGCTAACAACCTGAACGTCATCTGTGAAGCGATTGTCTAGAAAATGTGGGAGCCTCGACATCTCACAAGCCTATGGGCCTCCACAGCCTGTTACAGGGATAACTTTGTCTTCTACAAACGTATAAGAATGTTTCAGATGCCTGTTTGCTCATTGAAATTTTTTAGAGCCAATCCAAATCCTTTCAAATTCCATTATATTTTAAATAATATATGATCGTTAATGTTATTCTTATAGCACCAGTCGCTGTTACTTACACTTCGTTTAGGAGTAACCACAAAAATACTCTTTCATATTCTTTATCTTCCCAGTAATGCGTACCGGGACACCCTCACGTAAATTAGGGTTTCCAGGCGTCAATAGGGCAGATGTGAGAGAGCTGTCTAGGTGTTGATTGCAGAACAGCAAATTGCCGGCCGGGCTGGAGACCTTTGACGTCAACGTCAGCTAGACAATGCACGTGCGTATCATTATCTCATTCCCCAATTACCGGAGAATTTCGAAATTTAACACTCATAAACTGATAACCCACTGACGCGATTAGTCGCTAGCGGCTAGCCGCGTTAGTGGGTTATCAGCCTAAACCGCAGTTTAATAATTGGCCTCGAGCGACTCGGCAGACGTGCCGCGTTAGTGGGTTATTCACCATATACACTAATGCAGAGGTTCTCAAACTTTTTGCCTCTAAGCCCCCCCTGACAAGAAAAATACTCTCAGGCCCCTAGCTGTTTTTTTATCAAAATAGAAGTCATGGTATGTTTGACGTTTTATTCAGTTTATTTTGCTTTTTTCTACGTACTATTTAGCAGTCTTTTTACTCAAAATTAAAGTATCACAATATTAGGCCTACAATAGAAATTAGTTTTAACACTTACAATTAACCAAAATATGTATTGAAATGAAACGACATTTAACTGACAAGTATTTAATTTTTTTCTGCAAAGAAAATCAAACATTTAAATGTCAAATTTCAGTGTGATGGATGGGCCTACTTTTGAGAACAAAGTTTATCAAAAAGTGGTGGAAGATCAGAAATGGCCACTCCAACTTCTTTAGCAATATTTAGCCTTGAACGTTACTTTGACTCTATAGCTGCCAAAGCAGAAAAGCCGGTCTCGTATAAGTAAGTCGTTGCGAAAGGAATCAGGATGTTAAATGCTTTTTGCCTCAAAGTTTGGAATTCCGTGCCAATATGTATCCACAACTCCAACAAAGACAATTCCTTAAATGTACGTTTTAATGAGGTATCACTAGTGAGATCGATGAGTTCTTCTTGCTCATTTACATTCAGAGATGATGGCCCAGGAACATTTTCGAATGGATTTTTAATCCAATTAAATTTATCAAAATCATTGCAAAAGTATTTTTCGAAAGGAACTTTCAACATTATGAGATGATCAAGTAGGCAGCTTTTTATGTCCGTTGGAAGCACTGGATTATCGGTGTCTTGTACCAATGACACTAGAGTAGGGAACATGTCTAGCGTATCACTTTCCATACTCTTTCTCCAGAGCTCTAATTTTCTCATGAATGACTTCACTTTGTCATTCCAAGAAAGTACAGTTGCCTCATTCCCTTGATGTGAAGTGTTGAGGATATTTAGTTTTTCAAATATATCTGTGAGGTAAGCCATTTTCAATAAAAAATCCTTGTTGCTGAAACTGTCTGCCAGTGAGTGATTTTCCCCATTAAAAAACAAAACACATCATGCCTCAGCTCAAACATTCTCTTTAATACCTTGCCTCTTGAAAGCCATCGAGCATCAATAAAAAACAATAGAGCAGTGTTTTCGGCACCCATTTCCTCACACAGCATTTTAAAAAGTCTAGACTTCAGAGGATTTGTCTTGATAACATTGACGGTTTTACAACCGTCTGCAGCGCTTCATGAAGGGGTGGGCTGAGTTCTTTAGCTGCCAGAGCCTCCAGATGTATCATACAGTCAGTCCATACTGCTTCGGGAGCAACAGCTTCAATTTTTGCTTGTAATCCAGCATGGACTCCAGACACTGAACGAGCTCCATCTGTACATATGCCAGTGCATTTATCCCATGATATCCTATTTTCATTAAAGAAAGCATTAATCATGTCGAAAGGGTTTTGAGCTGTTGCTGTTCTCAAAATAGGGTCACAGAAAAACAATCCTCTCCCATATTACACTCAACAACAAAACGAACGTACGCAAACAAATGAGCATCTTTATGAATATCAGTCGCTTCGTCCACTTGAAGTGCAAAGCACTTGTTACGCAACTTCTCAATTAAATGCCGACGTAAATCGTCAGAAATGTCTGAAATTCTTCTACAAACTGTGTCACTAGAGAGGGGGACATTTTTCAATTGTTGAACAGAAGAGTCACTCAACATTGTTGCTACTATGTCAATCGCTGCTGGTAAAATCAGTGTTTCTGCAATTTGTGTGGTTTCCTGCATTTAGCAATTCTATGAGAAACCTGGTAAGAGGCTAAAAGGGCCTTAGAAGTCACATTTGTTGTTTTAGCAAATTTCTGTTAGCTTTCTAACAAAATAATCTTTTGGTTTATTTGTAAACTTCGGAAGTTTGGTTTCAAGCTGTCTCTTTAATTTATTAGGTTTCATACTGTCTGCAGCTAAAATACTTAGACATATCACACATTGCGAATGTTCTTCATCATTGATCACAGTTTTCGTAAAGCCTAATGATAAATAGTTCTCTTCGTACCTTCTCATTTTCACACTCCCAGTAGCTTCTTTCCCACCACTAGTTGAAGGAGCACTGGTGTCTTCATTTCTATCACTACTCAGGAAACGCTTCATGATCAATTGTTCATAATCAAGCCAATTTCAAGAGGTAAACAAATCAGCACAACTGCATTGAAATGCTGAATGCATAAGAACACAACATCAATCAGGCATACCAGTCAATTACCATTGAGTCTGGTGACAAACTGCCTGCTCCATGCCCAACAGGCGCCAATGACATGACATAAGTCGCTGCTTTCAGCTGCGCGTGTACAGTGCTGCCTGGAAGAGGATGCAGCTGCTGCCGAACTATCAACACTGTCTCTGGCATACGCGTTTTATAACTGCCGGTAAAGAGAATAATTATTAGTTATTTTGAAATTCATGATAATTAAAACCTGTACTCATCAAAAGTTTTTCTATGTGTATTTTTATTTTTTGTTACTTTTCTAATTTATTTAGGACAGTTTTAATTTTTATCTGTAGGAAAGTGTGCTGCATCCCCCTTTCAAGCCGTTCGCGCCCCCCCCCTGGGGTCGCGCTCAAAGTTTGATAACCACTGCACTAATACAGCGAACGGATGCGCGCGACAAAGAGCGGCTAGCCGCACGCGACTAGTCGCGTGAGTGGTTTATTAGTAGGACCCGGATCTTTATGCGCTAAAAGCGGGAAAATATGCACCCAAAATAAAACAATATGCACTTAAGAAACAGGTCACTTTATTCAGACTCACCTATTTACATGTATCACTCACTGCAGAAAGTGGCATCACAATGGGCAACTGGAAGTCTTTCAGTGTTTCCTGAAGACAAACTGCGCCTATTGTCCATCAAAATGAGTTTGTAGGCTGAGAATGATCTTTCTACATCAACTGACATGATTGGACAGTATTTATACACTGGCGCTGAAGGTTCGGAATATTCATCTGACAAAGATACCCTAATTCCACTGAAGTACTGACTAATTAACTGAATCTTTTTTAGTTCTGGGTTCGAATTCAACTCCATTTCTAACTTGCATTTAATCTTCTCTCCAATTTCGCCTGGAGCGGAATTCAGTGAACATGTTGCTTTCTGAACGAGTTCAGATGAGTCGTGAAGGAGTGCACCACAAGATTCTAAGCTCTTAAAGGCTTTTGAAACTGTAGCAAAATGTGCATGGAT